CACAAGTACATCCATATCTATGTGCAGCAGCTGAGACCTTTCTCCAACATTTATTTGATTGTTTCTTGGAAAGAACCTTCTTTGTTGTTTATCAAATTTGCAAGTTGTGTAAGTTGAACATGTTGCTGCTATACTTCTCAAATTTATCAAACCTTGCCTCAGATAAGGTCTTAGCATCTCCACTGGTCCATCAATCTTCAAAAATCTAGATTTCCTATGTGAAGGATCTAGATTTTCCATTTCAAACTTAATTGCGGGATTCTGAACTTCAGTCGTGGCTGCATCAGTTGGGATATGCATTTCTCTTACTATGATCTGTGTTGGTGTGGTGGCTCCCGTTGCTTCAGTTGCTAAACATATATCTTGCACCTCCTGATCAACAATGCTTCCATCCACTTCAGATGCATCCATCTCAACTTCATCAATTTGCAAGAAGAAACACTTCACTTCAGTGGTTGTTTGTGACCTAACTCATGATGTATCACAAATATCTTATTGAATTTCATTTTAGTCTGAAACAAAAAACCTTTCCCATCATGAAAAATCTTCCATATCCCACCCTTGATGAAGAAGGTCAAGCCCTTTTCTTGCATCTGGCCTATGCTTAACAAGTTGGTTTTTAATCCAGGGTCATAAAGTACATCCTTAATCAAACTCACAAGGTTTCTCCCTTCTACCTTCATCTTTATGACTCCCTTTCCTTGCACCTGTAGTCTAGTACCATCTCCTAACTTAAAAATGCAACTGAAACAAGAATCAATATAGCAAATAACTGTTTATTACCACTCAAATGATTAATGTGAGTTTAGAAACCAACAACTTTCACTCTTCTTCTTCGATTGCATTTCTTCTCCTTTCTCTATCAACATTCCTTCTTCTTGCTCAACAAAAGCCATTAGCAGAACGTCCTAGTTCATGTCAGGACGACATTTGCTTTGAGTAGGTGACTCGACTCTACTGTCACCCTAGGAATTGGCCAAGTGAAACCACTTCCTAAAGCGTAGTATAGCGGGCTAGGTTTATATGTCAACCCGGGTCCTAGATCTGATGACTACTCAGTGAATTCTTGTTATCTAGCAATGAAACTGGAATGCAAGTCTAAACTATCAAACTAACAAAGCAAGTAAACGGTTGTATTCAGGTTAAAGAGGTCACCCGGATATGGTTCCCCCTAGACTGCAGTTAAGCCGGATTGTAATTACCAAGTTCAGTTTCTATGATAGTTACACTGCGGAAGGTTCTTAAACAGCCTGAAGTCTCGACTAAAGGTCTTCAGACCCTCTCAATCTGAATCTCTAGCGGGCGACTAACCTCCACCGGAGTAGACAGATTGAGGCCCTAAGAACAAAACCTCCACTACCGGAGTAAATCCGGTACAGAATAGTGAGTTGGTTCCTCGACTAAAGTCACCAACTCCCTACCTTCAATCAAGGATACTCTATCAACCTAGGCAGATATTCTCATTCTAGGTTAAAGCAGAAACAACAGGAATTTGATCAGGATTCAAGTCATTCAATCATTAAAACCTCAATCGAATATAATCAATCACAGAATCAGTACTTGGGTTCATACAATCAAAGCCTAACATACAAATCTAGGGTTCTCCATACCCAGATGAATGGGAGAACTACTCCATGGAGAAGAAAGCAAAAGCAGAATCAGACACGGAATTCATACTGCGAAGGACGGATTCCGGCTCCTGGACGTTCATTGGCACTTCTCCAAGCTCAAGCTGGCCTCCAATGGTGTTGAAGATCAATCTAGGGCACTTGGAGACTCTTGTTCGTTGCTTTCTCTCTCTAGGAATCGTTCTCTCTCTCAAAAACTCGAATCCCCTTGAATTGTGGCTGAAAATCTGCTTAAAAGCATCAGTGGCCAAAGCACGGTCGAGGGCACGGCCGTGCTTTGCCTAACTCCGCCCGTGTCTCGGCCAGGGCTTAATTACACGGCCAGCAAGTGGGTTAAACACGGTCGTGCTTCGCGTTGGACACGGCCGTGCTTTGGTGGAACACGGCCGTGCTTCGGTGCCCGTGTTTGCAGCTGAATTGGCCAAACTGAATTTGCTCTCGGCATAAAAAGCACGGCCAGCAGTACACGGCCGTGTAATGCCTTGGGTCTGCCCGTGTTTTGGCTCCAGCTCACCGAAATGACTTCCGAATGCCCCGAAACTCGCGGTTAGCCTTCCCTTTAACCCCTGGGACCTGAAACATGACAAAATAGCACAACCCGGCGTAAAATAGGCCAAAACACACGACTATGCCCCTCAAACGGATAAGAACTAGGGGCGCAAATATGTGCAATTACATCGTTATCAGTAGGTGCAAATTTGGAGTGGTTGACTTGTTGATTATACCATTCAGGACATTCATTCCTGTAATGGCCAAGCTTGTGACACTTAAAACACTCTACCAGGCCACGATTCCTGAATCTGCCGCCTCTCTCCCTTTCTCCTCTTCCTCCAAATTCACGAGTTAGTTTCAGTACCTCATCATCTTTTTATTTTGTATGTCTTGAAATCTTTTGCTCATGAACAATCAAAGAGTTATGTAAGGCATCTACAGTAAGCTCTTCAATATCTTTCGATTCTACAATATAAATACTATGTAGTTGAACCTTTCTGTTAGAGTTCTCAATACCTTCTCAACAATATTTGAATCTGGCATGAGGTATCAACTCTCCACAGTTTCGCATTGCATTCCCCCACGATCATGACTCGACCAAAGTAATCAGTAATAGTCTCTTCCTCTTCCATTTCAAGTAACTCATAATTTCTTTTAAGGGCCTGCAGTTGAACCTTTTGAACTCTGGCACTACCCTGGAATTTCAATTTCATGGAATCCCAGAGTTCTTTTGCAGTATTCTTCTTAGTGATAGTTTTAAGGATTACCTTGTCAATTGAGCTGAAAAGATAATTCTTAGCCTTTATATCACTCAACTTAAAATCCTCCAAAGATGTTAGCTTTACTTATGATAGCTTCTCTCCTACATCAGGCTCTTTGATTCCTTGACTTACAACATGCCAATACTCCTTACATCTAAGGAGATTCTACATCAAGAGACTCCAATGTTCAAAGTCGCAATCAAATTTCGGTATGCACACTTGTACAAAGTTGGTGCTTTCACTCATCTTGAGATCACACAAAAAAATTTACACACTAACTGCTTGACAACAGATTTCACTCACCCTTGGATTGATATCCTCACAAAAACTCACACAACAACTGCTTGACAGCAGATTTCACTCACTACTCTGCAATTCACAACAGAACTTCTCTCAATCACTCTTAATTTGCTTGAAAGCCTTTGGTTACAGCTTGCTTGAGCTCTGATACCACAATGTAAACTCAAATGAAATGCAAACTCACCAAATTTTTTTTTTTTTTAAACAAATGAAACCAATATATGCATCATTCACTTCTCTCATTCGGCCTTCCAATCAGGCTCTCTAACCCACTGCCCTTATTTCTAGCTACCCACAAACAGACCCTCTAACAACTTCCTACTATTCTTCTCATTTCTTACTGACTAATGAACACTCTAAACGACACTAACTCACTTAAACTAACATGTGGGCAATCACGTGGCTTAACTATCTAACAAAGACCCCTAACAGATTATGTGTTCTTTGTCTATGTTTCCCAATCCTCTTTTGGCTAATCCATTTCAGTTTAATCCGGTTTGTTTATATGTTTCGCTTGAGAAATTAGTTAAAGTGTTAAACTACACATATGTGTATCATGTCAAGTTCACCTAGGACTAGGAGAGCATGATCCTGAACATTTCTCTTGTTAGATCATGGGGTGGGCCATTATATGGTTGAACGCTTAAGGGCTAAATAGGCTCAGAACAGACAAACAAGGGCTTGGCCTAGTGTTTAGGTCTCAGGTTCAAAACCCTTAAGTAGTATCTTAATAATAACAAAATGAAACCTATATCACCGTTATATTAAAAAATAAAGCTCAGAAGAGAACTGGAAATTAGACGTGACTGTCCTACACAAACCCATGGCCATTATTACATTGGGCTTGTGACCTCTCACTCAATGGAAGTCACTAGGAATTTTTTTTTCTCTAAACATATTTCAAATGACGCTTTCGTCTATAATTTTTTATATTAAAGTGATAGAAATTCATTTTTTTGTAGTGGTACTACTTAAAGGATTACCACTAGACGACAAGACCAATCCCTTGTTCGTGGTTTTCGTTGATAATTTATCGTAAAGGTGGTTCCAAATACTAGATCAAAATTGAAGGTGTAGGTGAGCAAACAAATTCTAGTCATTGTCAAACAAGAGTTAAAAGTAGCACCAAGACTCAAATGTTTAAACAAGTATATGTGTTAGTAAATGAAACTACGCCGTTTGTCTTATGTTAACTTGGGTTTCTGGAGTTGAGTTTTGTGTCAAGTCGAGTAATGTAAATTGTTATAAGTTGTTGAGGATTTACAGCTGAGTTGTTTATCATGGTTATGTTTCATAGTGTTGTAAGTTGTTGAAAATGAATAAATGAATAGCTTTGAAAGCTATAGAGTCTCAAGGTAGAAAAACTACCACATTGGTAGTTTTACTTTGGTGAAATGAGTATAAAGATATGAGCCTCTCTCCTAAGGGCATGCCCCTTAGGGTGACGCACTTTTGTGGGAGCGGGAGGACCTAACGGACCACCACACACACACACACGCGCACGCCGTTTGTCTGACTGGTCGGTCGGTTGGTTCACTAGAGACTATATATTTTTTGGAGAAATTCTGAACGAAATTAATCATCTAATAATTAATTATTAATCGATTATTCTTTATCCTTGATAAATACGAGTTGGAAGAGGATAATTGATTAAAAGGAATATTTGAAGGATAATTCTGCAGGAATTATCTTACAGACGCATTTTAATTAAGGAAGTAATTATCTTCCTAATTAAAACCGACTTATTCCCCAAGTAAGAGGATATATTCTTAGGGGTTTGGCTACTATAAATAGTCGCCTCCCCAGACCCTCTAAGCACACCACAATATGATCATAAACACAAATAGAGAGAGTATTCATAGAACTCTTGTTTTCGCAAAAAACCGCGAGTATAGAGAGGAATTGTTTTATCCTGGAGACGACCGATTGATAGTCTGTCGTGCGCATTAAGGGCAGTGCCGCGAACTTCTTAAAGAAAGCGATCTAGTCTGTGACTCAGCTCCAGATTCGGTAACCTCGTTCTTATTGTTGTTCCGTTCCTAACAATTTTAAGACGTTCGGTTGCTGCTATGTCGACTGAATAGAACAACATACCTGGATCTGGTGTTGTTGATATCAATCGACCCTTCCACTTCGTTGGAGTCAACTTCTGTCGTTGGACGACCAAGAAGTTGGCATGCTGCCTCACCAGCATGCCCGTCGAGCTGCCGGAAGAAGCGACCGATGAGGAGAGGGCTGCTTCTTCTAAGGAAAGGGAACATGACATCCTATGCAAGAACTACATCCTCAACGGCCTGGAAGACGATTTCTACGACTGCTATGCGGACAACAAGAATACCGCAATGATGATCTGGGATGCGCTCCAAATGAAGTATGACACGGACAAGGTTATAGCTAAGAAGTATATATACTGTCAGCCGCTACCTATGCTACTAGATGGTGGATGACAAGTCCGTCGAAGTTCAATCCCACGAACTTCAGAAAATATCTCATGAGATCGTCTCTGAAGGTATGCCTCTGGACGATCAGTTTCAAGTTGCTTTCATTATTGATAAGCTGCCCCCTTCGTGGAAAGATTTTAAGAAAATGCTTACACATAAAACTAAAGAATTTTCATTGGAAAGCTTGATTACTCGTCTAAGGATTGAGGAAGACTCCCGCAAGCAGGATATGAAAGAAGAGGTGATGGTCGTCACTGCTAAACGACCCACCCATAGAGCTCTTAAACCTAACCATAAAGGTTTCAAGAGTAAGAACCAGCAGGTCCGTCCCCACCAGAATGGTGCCTCTCGAGGTTACCAGAGAGTCATGGCCCAAACCTCTAAGAATGACCCACCGTTTATATGCTATAACTGCGGTAAACCGGGTCAGGGTTAACTTGACAGAAGAGGATTTGGTAGCCATGATCACGGATATGATCGCTGAAGTCAACCTCACCGGTGACTCAGAAGGATGGTGGCTGGATACAGGTGCATCGAAGCATGTATGCAATAATTGTGCTATGTTTAAAACATAAACAGAAGCACCTACTGACAAGAAAGTGTTGCTAGGGACTACCCACACCACTATGGTTGCTGGTTCTGGTGAAGTGGAGCTAAACTTCACCTCTGGGAAGAAGATGGTGCTCAAGGATGTGTTGCACACTCGAGAGATAAGGAAGAATCATTTTTCGGGATATATTCTTAATAAGGCTGGGTTTAATCAATCTATTGGGGAAGACTTGTATATTCTTACTAAGAATGGGAGTTTTGTGGGAAAGGGATATGCATGTAATGGGATGTTCAAGTTGAATGTCGAAATTAATAAGACGAATTCTTCAGTTTACATGGTGTGTGATTTGAATGTTTGGCATGCTCGTCTTTGTCATGTGAACACACGAATTGTGAAGAATTTAAGCAAGCAAGGACATATCCCTAAACTCTCAATGAATGAATTTGATAAATGTGATTTCTGTAGCCAAGCTAAAATAACGAAAACGGCCCATAAATCTGTGAGTAGAGAATCAGAACCCTTAGATTTGATTCATTCTGATATTTGTGAACTAGATGGGACGTTAACTAGGTCTGGCAAGAGATACTTTATCACTTTCATGGATGATTGATCTGATTATTGCCTTGTTTATTTGATGAAAAACAAAAGTGAAGCCCTTGATATGTTCAAGGTATTTATGGTTGAATTTGAAAATCAGTGCAATTCGAACAATAAAAAAACTTAGGAGTGATAGAGGATCAGAGTATGACTCTAATCCCTTCAAGGAATTCTATAGCTCATGTGGTATCATTCATGAAACCACGGCACCATATTCGCCAGAAATGAATGGTAAAGCTGAGCGAAAAAATAGGACGTTTACAGAATTAGTTGTGGCTATTATGCTCAATTCTGGAGCTGCTTCTTCTTGGTGGGGTGATATTTTGTTGACGGTTTGCTATGTGCTAAATCATCTTTCAAAAACAAATAGAAAAGAATCACCCTATGAGATCTTGAAGAATAACCCACCTATTCTGTTCTATTTAAGAACGTGGGGTTGTTTGGCCTACGTAAGAATTTCGGATCCTAAGAGGATTAAGTTGGCTAGTCGAGCATATGAATGTGTCTTCGCTGGCTATGCGGCCAATAGTAAGGCATACAGATTCTATGATTTGAATGCTCGTACTATTATAGAATCCATTGATGTTGATTTCTTTGAAACACGATTTCTATTTAAAACGAGAAATAGTGGGGGTAATGTACTACCCGCTATTAGAGATAACGGAACTAGTGGGGGTGTTGGATCTGAGGATATACTCAAAAGAAGTAAAAAAGCTAGAATCTCCAAAGATTTTGGTGATGACTTTACTACAGTATACACCCTCGAAGATCCAAAAAGTTTGCAAGAAGCATTAACTTCCATAAATGCAGATTTTTGGAATTAGGCCGTTATAGATGAAATGGAATCATTTGAAGCTAATAAGACTTGGCATCTAACAGACTACCCTCCTGGCTGCAAAGTCTTAGGTAATAAATGGGTTCTAAAAACGAAATGGAAACCTGATGATGCAATCGAAAGGTTCTGAGCTTGCCTAGTAGTTTAGGGCTACAGGAAGAGAGAGAATATAGATTTCTTCTATACCTATTCACCAGTATCTAGAATAACATCCATTCGTGTCATGATTGCTCTTGTTGCCTTAAACAATCTCGTGGTACACCAAATGGATGTTAAGACTGCTTTTTTGAACGGTGATCTGGATGAAGAAATCTATATGGAACAACCAGAAGGGTTTGTTATCCCCGAACATGCCTCAAAAGTCTGTAAGTTAGACAAATCATTATATGGTTTGAAACAGGCTCCAAAATAGTGGCATAGAAGTTTGACACTCTCGTTCTCACACATGGTTTTAAGGTGAATGAAAGTGACAAGTGTATTTACTGCAAGTCAGAGAATAACACTTGCACTATCATATGTTTGTATGTAGATGACATGTTGATATTTGGTACAAATATTCACGTGGTCAATGAAGCAAAAGCCATGTTTAAAGAGAGATTTGAGGTGAAAGATCTGGAAGAAGCAAAGTTTATAATTGGAATCCAAATAACTAGAACAGCAAATGGTTATTCTCTAGATCAATCTAGCTACATATAGAAGATCTTAAAGAAATATAACTATTTCGACTGTAAACCTGTGTGTACTCCGTATGATGCTAGTGTAAAGCTATTTAAGAACACTGGAGACAATGTAAGACAAACTGAGTATGCTAGCATCATTGGCAGTCTCCGGTATGCTGCGGATTACACTCGACTAGACATTCCTATGTTGTGGGATTGCTTGGCAGGTTTAACAGATGTCCTAGTAGAGAGCATTGGAATGCTATAGAGAGGTTCATGAGATACCTGAAGAGAACAGCAAACCTTGGTATACACTATCAAAGGTATCCTCCTGTGCTAAAAGGGTATAGTGATATAGATTGGAATACCCTAACAGATGACTCCAAGGCAACCAATGGGTATGTTCTTAACATCGCTGGTGGAGCTGTGTCTTGGAAGTCTAAGAAACAAACAATCCTAGCTCAATAAACTATGGAATCAGAGATGATAGCACTAGCCACGACTAGTGAAGAAGCAAGTTAGTTGAGGGGATTGTTGCCAGATTCCCCTATGGGAAAGGTCGGTCCCTCCGGTATTGATCCATTGTGATAGTACCGCAGCTATCGCTAAAGTTGAGAACCGATTCTATAACGGAAAGAAATGACAGATTCGTCGTAAGCACTGTACTGTAAGAGAACTCCTAACGATAGGAGCGGTGAGGGTGGATCATATAAGATCCGAACAGAATTTTGCTGATCCTTTGACGAAAGGATTACCTAGAGAGAAAGTCCATAATACCGCCAAGGGTATGAGACTTATGCCTACCGAACCACAGACTACAAGTGATGGTAACCCAACCCAATAGACTGGAGATCCCAAGAAATGGGTTCAATGGGTAATAACAAGTCATGATTAGTATGCGAAAAGTTCATGCATAGTGAAGCATGAATCCCAAAGCAATTGAGGTTGAGTTATCAACTCTTAATGATATCTATACCCTATGTGGGGTGGAGTACTTTACTTTGAGGGTACTCCTGATAGACTCACCTATGTGAATGTGGGAGTGGGGCCACTCCCTATGGAACTTTGAAGGCACAAAGTTGCTAGAGCGTTCACTAAACCAGGATAACGTGCATGGCCATAAACGCACGGGCTAAGAAGAGAATACAACTCAATGAAAAGATCTGGTGTGCTACACTGTCCGAGATAGTGTTCAAGACTACGAGTCACCCTTATGAAATCAGAAGTGTAACCACTACGCTAAGGTTCAAATCTTCGCGATACCTTAGCTTATGCCCGATCTTATAGAACTGTTGGTGCTCAGAGATAGTTTCAAAACTATTCAAGTGGGGATTGTTGGAAATGAATAAATGAATAGCTTTGAAAGCTATAGAGTCTCAAGGTGGAAAAACTACCACATTGGTATTTTTACTTTGGTGAAATGCGTATAAAGATAGGAGCCTCTCTTCTAAGGGCATGCCCCTTGGGGTGACCCACTTTTGTGGGAGAGGGAGGACCTAACGGACCACCACACACACGAGCGCGCGCCATCTGTACGACCGACCGACCGGTCCGTCCGTCCAACCAACTAACTGGCTGACTTCGGTCGGCTGGTTGGTTCACTTGAGACTATATATTTTTTGGAGAAATTCCAAATGAAATTTATTATCTAATAATTAATTATTAATCAATTATTCTTTATCCTTGATAACTACGAGTTAGAAGAGGATAATCGATTAAAAGGAATATTCAAAGGATAATTCCGTAGGAATTATCTTACAGACGCGTTTTAATTGAGGAAGTAATTATCTTCCTAATTAAAACTGACTTATTCCCCAAGTAAGAGGGTATATTCTTAGGGGTTCGGCTACTATAAATAGCCGCCTCCCCAGACCCTCTAAATACACCATAATACGAGCATAAACACAAACAGAGAGAGTATTCATAGAACTCCGGTTTTCGCACAAAACCGCAAGTATAGAGAGGAGCTATTTTATCCTGGAGACGACCGGTTGATAGTCTGTCGTGCGCATCGAGGGCAGTGCCGCGAACGTCTTAAAGAACGCGACCTAGTCCGCGACTCAACTCCAGATTCGGTACCTCGTTCTTGTTGTTGTTCCGTTCCTAACATAAGTTAGTGGTTAGAGGTGTGGAAGCCAAGTCTATGGTTGTAACGTATTTACTTAAGATCACTACAAAAAAGAGGAGGTTTGGGGACGACAAAAGTCGTCCCTGGAAATAGGAAAAACTGTTCCCATAATTTTTGGGGACGAGTTAGTCGTCCGCAATGAGTGGTTCTCTATACTCTTGTCCTCTATTATTTTGCGGACTACAAAAATCTAGGTCGTCCCCAGTGTTAGGGACAACGGTCGTCCCCAATACTCAAGAGTTCTTGTCTCAATTTTATTCCACGAAAGACAACATGTTGCACCTATAGCAATGACTTTGGTGACAAAAAGTCGTCCACAAATATTAGTTGGGGACAAAATGCCATTCCCTATTACAATTTCATGATATAATTCTAGCCAACTGGGGACAATATATTGATATTTTTTATTTTTGTAAGTTCTATATGCAACTCGGTAGATGTGATATGGGAGTCAACATATCATTCCCAAAAGTTAAACAACATATAATTCCTTGTAGTATATCTTTGGAGACGACAAATTGTCACCTATATAACTTTTAAGAACAACAAATTGTCTCTTAATCTATCTTATACAATGACAAATTCTCGCTTATATAACTTCTCTTCCCTCCACCTTTTCTTTTTCTTAATTCTGCAAAACTCAGTCATTCCATGAACGACCATAACTACTTGTATACACAACATCACCTACCAACCAACACAGATTACTCAACTTACACTAGAAACATGTTCAACATCCATGGTCTAACCAAGAAACATGCTCGGCACTAGATATACTCCGCTGGTTTTATCGATCTTGTTGTGGAGATAATGTTCTTGGCCTTGGCCTTGATCTTCCAATCTGACAATTACTTTGGTGTCGAATTATGAATATAGAATAATTTAATGGAAATGAACATGAGAGATATCACAAAGCTGGAAATTTGAAAGAACAATTTAAAGTTTAAGATAGCACACAATAATATATAAGAAAATACAATCCTTGGCAGAGGGTGTCAACACTATTAACTAACTTGTGCGGTTGTGCCTATTCTTTGAATCCTCCATACATAAGAATAATGATTATAAAAAGGTTTAAGTAATGTACTAAACCAAAAGTAATGGGTGAGGGTGAGAAATGAGAATAATGAGCAAACTATAACCATTCAAAGTACTTGCTTTGTAAATAGAAAGAATTCATACGTTCTTACCTTCGAATTCTGTAGCAATATGTGGTATTGCTATACATCGTCCTTGTCGATTATTTTGTAGACGCGACAAGTTTCAAGTACCCTATTCTCTTGCCAATAACATCGTCCACACTTACGAGTGGTAAATCAGAAGGAAAATATGAGTTTATGAAAGGAGATAACAACACAGAGAGCAAACGAAAGAGTATGAAAATCGGGGGAGTTGAGAGAAGCGTCGACTTGTTTCCGTTGCTCTGTCCACCGCTGCTATTTGGGAGACGATGATGTAGGGAAGTTGAAGATTCGACCCTAATTGAGTTCATATCCCTCCTCCTTTTTATTTAACAGCTAAAAATCAAATTCTAAACTTTTGAAAATTTTAAATCACAAAGGCAAAAAAGTAGGCAACACTCCCCTTAGAGCCGCCAATTAGGGAATTTATCCCGCGGACCACTAAAATAAACCCGCCAATATAATTAAAGCTCCCTATTCATTTTTAGGGGCGATTTTGAGACGTTGTCCTCTATGTCACTAGACTTTCATTTACGAAGACAAGTAAAATTTGTTGTCCCTTATATTTGTCCCCAAACCTTCTTAATTTTGTAGTGGATCAAGTCTTCCATTCCAATAAAAATCCGTGAGATTACGATACAGAATGGATTGTGGTGAATTAATAACATGTGATTTTTTGTAAGTTTTCGTCCTTCATTAGTTCTTACCCGATGAATAAGAAAATCTACTGCAAAACTATTTTTACGGGAAACATGGATGAAATTGATATTAGAGTAACTATCGTTGTAGTAACTATCACATGGTTGCAACATCGTTGTACCATGATTCCATGAATGAGCCGATGACTTAGATTGCTACAACGATAATTATTCACGAGATGATCTCTAATTATTAATAACGATAATGAACCACCCAAAGAAACTGAACGGTGAGCTAAAGAGCCACGAATCCATAATTTCAATCCTTTCGTTTCATTTTTTTTGTGGCTATTTCGTCGTTTTCTTGTCGACTGGTTAGCCAAACGATCAGATAAGGTGGAACCGGTGAGTTGCTTTCCAGAATCCCATCCACACGTACGTATTTTCAATTTAGCTAAAGGAAGAGACGTGGGTGAGTTGGAAAAGAATTTTAGTGACGATATCACTAAACATCATCAACTAACTAAATCATTAGTTAAAGATATTATAAATATATTGAGAAGCAAAAAGGGAAAAAGAAATGGAAAACAATATCTTTGGGGAATGGGATTTTTATCAAGCACTAAACCGACCATCTGTCCCCAGAAACAAGCCAGCCAGCCAGCCAAATTCCAAAGTGACTACTCGCATCTTGAGAAAACGACGTCGCCTTGGTCGACATAAAACCCCAAACCAAAAACTCGAGTTAATCAATACTTGTATCTATTCATCCACCACCACTAATTGTCATCAACTCATCATGTCTCATGAGGCTCGTGGCCGTACGAGGATGAAACTTTGCTATTTTGCTCAGACGTTCATCCTCAAAGTCTCTGCTTCAACAGTCTGGTCCTAATGGCTACTAACACAAAAAACGAGTAATTTGTGATTGAGAGAGAACGTGAGATTCGATCTCTATGTACTATTTGCTTAATTATAAGTGTAGCATGAGTTTATGTTATATAAATGTATTACATGTGATAAACAAAATTTAGAAAACGCACATGGTACTTGAAAAATTAAAAGCTCAAACTAAGCTATATCTCTAGTTCCAAACTATAGACAAATAGTATATGATTTTGTCCACCCACTCATAAAGCATAGCAAATAAAATTATGGAGATAATTTGATTTATGATGAATAGTACGAGGAGCAAGGATGAGTTAGGGGAAAAAAAACTTTTCGTTTGGATGAGGAATTGTAACGGATCAATTTGACACAATTGTCTCATTTTGAGACAATTGTACCAAATTGTCTCGTTTGCCAGCAAAAAAATTGGATGGGTCAATCTGCCTGAGCTATTTTGAATTGATCCATTTTGAGTCAATTTCAATTACCTGGGGTGGGGGCAGGTAATTCGAATTGACTCGTTTTAAGTGCCTCGTTTATAAAATGAGACAATTGATCAAATTGACTCATTTATAGATTGATCCATCCAAACGACCCCAACATTAGACAAAAACTAGAGTGGGTTCCTATTCAAATTATAGTACATTAACTAAAAATGAATGTATGTATTGAACATGCTAATCATATTGTTCTTGAATATCGATCGATGTGAATGAGATAAAACCAAGTTTTGCGCTATCAAGTTAAAAAAAAAAAGGGTTGCAGATTGATGATAATAAGGAAAATTAGTTGATTCAACTTGAGTTACACATATTACCAATACTAAATGTTTAAGGACTATAAATGGAGAAGGATCAAACTAAGGGTACTTTATGGCATCTTTACCCCGCCCCCCCGTGACGCCAATCTCGAGACCTAGGTGGTTCGGGCCTTTAATTAAAAAAAAAATTGAAACCCATAACCGACGCCAGAACTAATGGGACCAATTAAAACGTGACCCCACCTGCTCCATCACCCAACCGGACAGCTCGTTTGCTGGGCCCCACACCGACCTTTGCTGTTGCTCCCCTCCACCTCCATCGTCGTATTTATCGTTTCCAGACCGACACTTTCGGGCCGCGTAGGACAGCCCTTCACGTTGCACACTTCCACGTGTCCTCCTTCTTATTGGCTGGAAGCCGTACACTGTGTCTCCCTCTTTCTCTCGAACTTTTCCTTTTTGACTCCCTGCCTCGCGTACGTTTTATTCACACAATTTAATTTATTACCACTTACTACGTGTACTATTTTCTTAAAATGAAATTCCAATTGAATCGTGTTTATCAATTAAACACAAATTAATTATTTTGAGATAATTGAATCATTATTTATCAGCAGAAAATTCAGATGAATTAATTTGATGTGGAAAATATTGAATTAATTAGTTTTAAACTAATTCTAATCGTTCGTGGGAGGATCAAGTAATTCTAATTGAATCGTGTTAATTGGCTTATTTCATAAAATGAAATCATTGGCCAAATTGTTTCAATTTTTATTTGATCCATCAACATTACCCCCAATAATCTATTACATCGTAATTGTAGGAAATTCAGTAGAGAATTGAACAGAAGTGGGATTGAATCAAAACTACTTTATCTACTTTGGCTCTTTGTGTTATCTTTCATAATCTCTGTATCGATAATTACATGAAGCAATATATTTATTAAGAGGATAAGTTGTATTTTTTATGTGCAGACCACTCATCAGTCATCACAAGAGCAATGAAACGAAACGACCAAGATATAACCAATTTTTTTTTTTTTCCAATGAATAACATGCTAATAATAATATTATTATCTCTTATTCTGAATGAAAATTAAGCTCAGATATCTCATATTTAATCAAAAGGATGAAGAAACTTGCCGACTCCCCCGACACTTGTCAGAATCTGGACGGCTACCACACCGTCCAAAAACACTATTCAATTCCCCCCATTTCCCCTTCCAACACACACAAATCAACGGCTCAACTGCTCCACGTCCGTTACAACCGTTACCATTGGATCCTCCTCTTCCCTCTTCCCCTTCCCTTCCTTCCACGCGTCAAGTCCGCGTGGCCAAACTAGTATAAAAGCCCCCCCTTCTCCACCCTTCCATATTCATCACCCACATCACCAAACTACTTTACTCTCTTCACTATACAATTCGAAACAAAGCCCCCCAAAAAAAACCCTCAGTGTATCTTTTTTTTCCAAGTCTTCTCACAACAACAATGGCGGAAGAGTTCCAGAACAAGAGCGGCCACGATGACGTGGAGACTAAGGACCGCGGGATGTTCGATTTCTTGGGGAAGAAGGACGACGTGGAGACCACTAAGCCGCCCCACCACCAGGACGAAGCTGCTGCTGCTGCGATGTCGTCCGAGTTCGAGGAGAAGGTTCAAGTCTCCGAGCCCGTTAAAGAGGAGGAAGAGATCAAGAAGGAAGAAGGCGGCGGTGGCTTGTTCTCCAAGCTTCACCGATCCGGCAGCAGCTCCTCAAGCTCCGTAAGCCTCTCTCGTATTTTAATTAAGATTAATTTTTTTCCTTAATTTGGTTAGTGTAATTAACTGAGGAAGATATATGTTAATTTATGGTGGGACAGTCGAGCGAGGAGGAGGTAGAGGAAGACGGAAAGAAGATCAGGAAGAAGAAGGAAAAGAAGGAGAAGAAGAAGAAGGAAGAGGACACTTCAGTCCCCGTGGAGAAGTGCGACGACGTCGTTCCGGAGGAGAAGAAGGGGTTCATGGAGAAGATCAAGGACAAGCTACCCGGCAAGAAGAGTACAGCTGAGGAGGAAACCCCTGTTGCGGTGGCGGCGCCGCCACACCACGAGCCGGCGGAGGAGAAGAAGGGGTTCCTGGAGAAGATCAAGGAGAAGCTGCCCGGATACCACGCCAAGGGAAGTGAGGCTGAAGAGAAGGAGAAGGAGAAAGAAAGCCACTAGATCAAAATTTGGAAGAATTGATGGGTTTTTAATTTCTCTAAATATGTTTTTGGCATTTTGAAATTTGTGGGTTTTGGTTATATGATGATGATTATGATCAGTCCATGATGCATAGTTTGTGTAACTGTGTAATCGTGTGTCGCCTTTTGGGTTTTCTTTCCTTCTTTGCGTTTTGGAGATGCTGCTGTACGTGGTTTCTCTTTTGGAAATTGAGGACTTAAATATGAGTACTGTTGATTGTGCTTGTATGTAAGTTTGTTTGATATTAAGATAAAATACTTTTTCCTTATATAATGTGATTTTTATTTGAAGTGTCAGTTGAAGTTATTAAAACACTTAATATATTGGGAGAAACATGTGTCTCTAATCATGATTTGGTCGTGTTCATTTTACTCAAACTAAAAACGTATATGATCATGTATGAAATTTACTTCTAATATATACATGAAGATTCTGTTTCTTATGAATATATATATATATATATATATAGAGAGAGAGAGAGAGAGAGAGAGAGAGAGAGAGAGAGCTATGGAAGGAGATGGAAGAGATCAACAAGTACTAGTGTGTATGCAAATTTAAGAATCATGGAGGTCTCTAGAAATGGGAAGCATTGCTGAATTAACCTTTTTGGTTGATGAATTGAATTGAACTATTGAAGGCAAAGGTGTAGGGTGGTGGTTGCAAGTTAATCAACACAAGTCACTGCATGTGCACTGTCTTGTCAAATATATATAAGTGTCTGCGTTTTCTGGTTCTGCCACATTACCAACGGGTCCTCTATGTTGAGCTTTTATTTTTGGTGAAGGAGCCAAATGCACGGTTCATTTTTTCTTAACATATAACCCAATGAAACCGAGTTAATTTGGGTCAAGTAACTTTGAACTGGCTGACAACATGATTAAATTTGTGGGTGTATATTTGAGTGGATCGATTAAACGAAAACCTTGAACAAAAACCAAAATGCGATTTAGTGGTTTAGTCTTATAGTATATGTAACACTTGTTTCACGAATCAAAATTATTCTAATTTTTAGTCAATTTAGTTTGTCACCATTTTATGTAGATATACAAAGGCTTAGGGCTTTACAAGTTGGTATAGAATGGTACAATGCGTGTAGTTCGATATGGGCAACTGACTCAAAATACGAAAATTAAAGAAAACTGAAAATACTAGGATTTTTTCTTCTTCGATGATTAAAACACAAGGGTTAAGTACATATTTATAAGACGCGTCTCATAAACCCCTTTCCCCACAAAGAAGGTAACCCCATCCGAATCCAACTCCTAACGAATTACTACCTAAACAAAACAATAATAATCCGAAATAAACAAAATAAATCGAGGAATATCCAAATAAAAATAATAATTAATAAACGTGCGTTTGAAGATACATACTCGTCTGCGGGGGTGGTGGCTCGCAGGGCTACAAAGAACGTGATGGAGTAGATTACTGCACACGGAAAAGTGGAAGTTGAACAAAGTACAAGATGGTTCAGAGAAAACTTGAATGGGTTGTGATGGCGGTGTTGTTTGCTTTGGGAGCATAGTTTCCTGGGAACGTTGTTGTTGTCATTTTGTTCAAATCATCGAATGCGCTCTGCTGATGTGTCCCTAGAGGTGGTTCTGTTGGTTGAGTAGAGCGCGAGACTCCGGCGTAGATTCCCTCGATTCTCCGATCAATCCAGACCTTGTATAACCCTAAATCGATCTCGACAAGAACAAGTGAGGAGAATGGGAGGAAACTGAAAATGAATCGATGAGAGGGATAAAGTCACTTCCCTCTTTGTGTTTGCCAAACGACAGCGAATCTGAAATCTAATGTGGGCTGGGCTCGGTTTATTATTAAATTGTAACCTCTAATTTGGCCCATCTTCTTTATTTAGCACGCAGCGTTTTATGAACCAGATTTCCTTCTCCACTTCTCAAGTAAACTCGATCAACCTGCTCTGCACAAGAACTAACCAAAAACCGAACGAAGAACACAAGAGAAAACGGGAAAACAGCAATGCATCAAATCAAACCGCAAATGAACACAGACACAATATTTTTACGTGGTATCTAGTGCTAGGTGATTAATGAACCTAACACCGACTAATCCACGGTAGGAGACTCTCTTATTGAGATCTCCTACTTAATCACTATGATTGATTCCTTCTTACAGACTTGGCGAATCCAGAACCAGCTCCCTGCTGATCGGCCAATCACCTAACTTCTGGTGATTCAAACTCCATGTTTAAACACCCTAGTTTTTCCCGCTAATCTCCCTGATTTGCTACAACGATTTCTCACAAAAGACTACAGCTCTCTAGCACTCTCTTTTGTTAAATCGCTTTGGAAAAACTTGACTTCTACTAATCTCTCATTCAAACTATATACTGCTGCTGAGTTGAGAGCCGTTGAGGGTGAATCAGCTTGATGAGGGTAAGTGATTTATTCTTTCCCTTTATGCTTGATCATGATCTGTATAGTTGGCCAACTTTCCTTGTATGCCTCTTCATACTTCAAGGGGTGATGCAATATGCAGCTTCCTTCTCTCAACATTCTCCCCCTAAGTATGTCATTTGCTCTAATGCGCTGATCCCATAATTCACCTGCACATCTTAACAAATGATTGATGCAGCATGTTCTATACAAACCATTCATTCACAGGCACAACGAAACACTAGATAAAAGAGAAGTTCATTTTATTTGAAAGATTGCAGAAAACATATCGATTTAACCTAACACTGACACCATGACCGACAAAACTTCAAAGCTACCCTAACCAGATCCTTCTAATGAACTCCCTAGACTGGTCACTTCCCCTAAACTGGTTCTCCATTTCAAAAATCATATTGAGGTGGAGATTCATAATCAGATTTACCCTCTGCTTCTTCTTCCTGAGTGGTTAATGATTCAGACTCCTTTGCCCTCTTGATCTGAGCATGATGAAGCTCTAAACTGATTAGTTCCTTGCGCTTGACAGCAGTGATTCTTTCAAGTACTGCAGACGCAACCTCCAGGAGGACAGGAACAAATTGCCCATCAGATGTTGCAGGTGCAGCCTCCAAAAGAGCATGGGTATCAGCAGGCTCTCCCCCTGAGCAAATGACAGGCTTTCTCCTACCAACTTGGGCATCAACACGAGTAAGGATGTGTTGAGCACGCAGCTCCTCTCGGATATCACATACAATTAGCTTATCACGAAGATAAATCCCTACCCTATGTAGGAGACGAGTAATTTGAGGACCAAATGGGAGAGGGCCAGAGTAATTCTCGTCACCATAGTTGATCAATGAGCAAACATAAGCATAGAGAAGTTGAACTGGATCCCATCGCGAGCATTGGCCATAATCCAAGCGTCAGCAGGATGCACAAGTTCATTTTGAGAGATACTGCGAGGAAGCAGTATCCTTGTGATGAAAAAGTGGAGCACTTTGAACTAATCAGCAAAACGACCAACAGATAGCATGGAAGGATAGTACCTCCCAATATCATTGGTAAGAGATTTCATGGCAGAACCGAAATCAAAGCCAATGGAAGCAAAATCATCATTTGTGGCTGCAGAAGATCCGAGACAGGGGAGATCAAGAGTTTCATCCAGGAGGGAGGCTGTAACCTTGATCTCATGATTATACACCACAGTGGTGAAAAAGGAAGGACTGGAGCTAGGGCCACGCTTCAAACTAGCATAGAACATTCTGACTCCTTCAGAACACTGACTGAAACGTTGATTCTCAAAGAGAGAATCCCAGCCAAGCTTGTGAATGAGACCAGGAATGTCAAGATCATACTTTCTGAAGGCAGAAGGTTGAATGGGAAAGGATGGATAGAGTGGACGATTATGAAAATACTTGAGATACCTAAGGTATCGAGAGGGCTTATAGAATCCTTGATTGTTGAAGGTGGCAACAGGATGTAGTTGAGAGTTGTTTGGGGCCATTGTGGAGAGATATGAAAGCAGTGTGAAAGGTTCTGAGTTGATGGTTCGAAGGCAAGGAGTTGAGGGTGATTATATAGAGTAGGAGTAGGGTGGAAGAGGAAGGAATTCTAGTGTAAGGAAAGGAAAGATTTGGGAAGACAAATATGGCAATATGAGATGAGAACAAGAAATCTTGCAGATTTCAAGGGATTTCAGAGATTTCTTCCATCGAGAAGAGACCCAGTTCTCTCCTAATGGGAAGAAATTTGCCGGGTTCCAAAGGCTTAGTGAAGATATCAGCCCACTGAAAATCAGTGCTAATAAATTCAAGATGTATTTTCCCTTCCTAGACTAGATCTCTAATGAAATAATATATAACCTCGATATGCTTAGTCCTAGAATGCTGAATTGGATTTTTTGTCATGTTAATAGGACTGGTGTTATCACACATAACGGGCAAGGATTCAAACTCAAGACCATAGTCCTTGAGTTGATATTTCATCCAAAGAAGTTGTGTGCAGCACAAACCAGCTGCAACATTTTCAGCTTCTGCAGTGGAAAGGGAAACATAACTTTGTTTCTTACTAGACTAGGCTATAAGAGAAGTACCAAGAAAGTGACAGGCACATGAGGTGCTTTTTTGTCCACAGAGCATCCTGCATAATCTGAGTCACTATAGCTTATTAATTCTAAGCTAGAGGTGCTTGAATACCAGAGTCCTAAACTAGAGGTTCCAGCAAGATACCGAAAGATCCGCTTAATAGCATATAGATGGCTTTCCTTAGGATTGCTTTAAAAACGAGCACAAACACATACACTATACATGATATCTGGTCTGCTTGCAGTCAAATAAAGCAAGGAGCCAATCTTACCCCTGTACAGTCTACCGTCTACACTTTTTCCTGACTCATCTTTGGTAAGCTTCATTGAGGACCTCATAGGAGTAGAAATGGCTTTTTAGATTGTTAAGATTGAACCTTTTAAGCATATTATTGAGGTACTTGGTTTGACTAATAAAGATTCCATCTTTAGTTTGCTTAATCTGTAGCCCTAAAAAGAAGTTGAGTTCACCCATGAGGCTCATTTCAAATCCACCTTTCATTGTATCAGCAAATTCCTTACACATTTGTTCACAGGAGGAACCAAATATTATATCATCTACAGACACTTGCACAAGAAACATATCTTTACCCTTGTTCTTAATAAACAGAGTTTTATCCACTCGCCCCCTATGAAACCCATCGTCTATTAAAAATTGACTCAATTTGTCATACCAAGCTCGATGAGCTTGTTTAAGACCATACCGAGCCTTATTTAGTTTGTATACATAGTCAGGGTGTTCATGATTTTCAAAACTAGGAGGTTATTCCACATATACCTCTTCTTTTAAATCACCATTTAAAAAAGCACTTTTTATATCCATTTGATATAATTTAAACCCTTTTGAAGCAGCAAAAGCACACAACAGTCTTATTTCTTCTAACCTAGCCACTGGTGCAAAGGTTTCATCAAAGTATATACCCTCCTCTTGATTATAACCTTGAGCAACCAATCTTGCCTTATTTCTTATTATAATTCCAATTTCATCAGATTTGTTCCTATAAACCCATTTTGTTCCAATTATTGTTCGGTTTTTAGGTCTTGGAACCAAATCCCAGACCTTTGTTCTTTCAAACTGATGCATCTCTTCATGCATAGCAGCATTTCAGTATTCATCCTCTAAGGCTTCTTCAACATTCCTAGGTTCTATCAAAGATACAAAGGCAGTTTGTTCAGGATAAGATTTAGAGTGAGTAACCATACCTTGGTTTAAGCCTCCAATTACAAGAGAAGGTGGATGTCGTTTCTGAATGTGAGGAGGAGCTTCTGGTAGATGCACATCTTCAGGAGCTTCTTCCTGTGTTGATTCCAGATTGGTAGGGACAGAAATGACTCCCTTGACTTGACTCAAGCTAAGTCCGAGATCATCATCATCTTCTAAAACTTCTGCACACTTACTTGCAGACTCATCAAACAACACATTAATGGACTCCTCAACCTTAAGGGTCCTTTTATTATAAACATTATAGGCCTTGCTATTTGTGGAATATCCTAAGAAGATTGCCTCATCAGACTTTGAATCAGATTTCCCTAGTTGATCCTTAGTATTCAAGACAAAGCACTTGCACCCAAATGGGTGAAAATAGCCTAGATTAGATTTTCTGTCTTTCCATAATTCATATGGTATTTTGTTTAGTTTTGCTATGATCAGAGCTCTGTTAGTTATGTAACAGGCTATATTAATCGCTTCCCCCCCCCCCCTAGAATATTTTAGATACACCATAGTCATTAAGCATAGTTCTTCCAATTTTGATTAGTGTTCTGTTTTTCCTTTCAACAACACCATTTTGCTGGGGTGTCCTAGGTGCAGAGAAATTATGTGAGATTCCTTTTTCATTACAAAACAGTTCAAAATTTTCAGATATAAACTCACCACCATGATCACTTCTAATGCTAACTATTTTTTATTGCTTTTCATTTTCTACTTTAGCAACACCTCATCTTTACTTGCAAGAAAGAGCACCCATGTGTATCTAGAGAAGTCATCTACAATGACAAATGCATAGTATTTTCCTCCTAGACTCTTTACATTGCTAGGTCCAAATAGGTCAAGATGAAGTAGTTCTAAAGGCTTATTTGTTGAGATAACAGTTTAGTTTTGAAATATGCTCGAGCATGTTTTCCTTTGGCACAAGCATCACAGAAGAATTCCTTATTACTGTGGATTTTTGGAATTCCTTTCACTAGATCTAGGCTTACCAGTCTTGACAGGGTGTTAACACTAACATGTCCTAGCCTACGATGCCATTCAATTTGATCATTCTTATCAACAGTAACTAAACAAGTTTCATTGAACGCCTCCCTGTCATTTAAGTCAATAGTGAAGAGTTTTCCTTTTCTTTTCCAGTAAAGAGGACCTTACCACTCGATATTTCTTCAACATAGCATCTATCTGGTTCAAAGATTACTCTATTCATATTTCCACACTACTTCATCTTTACCTTTCTTTCCTAGAGTCAGTTTAGAGAACAGCTTTTTATCCCCAGTCATGTGATGTGAGCATCCACTATCAAGAATCCAAACGTTGTCTGCCATGCTCACTTGGAGACAAGTCTGCAAAACAATGTATTTTATTTATTTTTAGGTACCCAAATTAGTTTGGTTACCCTTCCTAACTGGAATTCTTTAGAGCATGTTCTACTTGAATGTCCCACCTCATGGCAATTGAAACAATTCATGTTGTTGACTCGTGTTTCTTTTGCTATTCGTTTTCTGCATTCATCTATGTGATGACCAGTCTTGTGATAGTAAAAGCATTCAGTGTTTCTAACTCTCTTTTTCATTTTACTGTTTTTCTGAAAGCTTTTCTCAGAAGTAACCTTATCCTTCTCTGCTTTCATACTCTCAATCTTAGCTTCAGCTATGCTAACTTTATTTCTCAGCCTATCATTTTTTATTAAAGCATTAGTAAGTTTATTTTCTGCTTCAATTTTTTCAGCTTTTAATGTTACAACTTCTTCCAGTAGTTTCTCATATCTGGATTTTATCAAGACATGCGTTTGTTTTACCTTGACAAATTCATTTTGTATATCCATGATTGTTTCATCAAGTTGATCATTTTCACTATATGAGTCTGAGTAATAGGATCTTACTTGTATGTCATTTTCCTCGATGTCACTTCCTTTGATTGCCATGTATGCTTCTGCTTGGTGTCCTCTTCGTCTTCATCATCTTCACTACAGCTCCAGGTTGCTGAGTAAGCTTTTCCTTCTTTATCTAAGGGCATTATGCCTTGATATGTCCTATCTTGCCACACCTGAAGCACCCAGCTTGGTTTGAAACTCTTTCTAGGACCATTCCTTCTCTTCTGTTCTTCGAACCAAATCTATTGGGTCGACTGAACTCCTTTTCATTTTCTCCATCTTTTGATCTGCTCATCAAGCCTCCTCGTTTCTTCTCTCTTCTTATCCGAAGCAGTTTGGCTACATGGTTGATGAGCATAGCCAGCTCATCATCTTCCATCTCTTCCAAGCATTCCAAATCATCTTCTTGAGTGAATGCTTTGAACACGATTCCTTTCTTTTCCCTTCGGGGCTCTTCGCCATCCTCCCTTTTCAATTTTTCTTCACGTGTAGTTAAGGACCCAATAAGCTCATCTAGGCTTAGCTTGGTGAGGTCCTTAGACTCCTCAATTGTCGTTACCTTTGGAGTCCATCACTTCAGAAGAGCCCAGAGAACATTTCTGAACAGATCAGCGCTGGCATATTCAACCTCCAGATTCCTCAAACTATTCACAATTGTAGTGAACCGCTCGTTCATTTCTTTTATCGACTCTTTTGGCTTCATGATAAAAGATTCAAACTACTGCTTGAGGCTGTTGATTCTGGAAAGCTTAACATGTGAAGTACCTTCATGCGCGATCTGCAACTTATCCCAGATTTCTTTGGCATTTTTGCATCCTGACACTTTGTGATACTCCTCAGGACCCAGGGCGCAGTACATCAAGTTGGTGGCTTTTGAGTTCATCTGGAAATTCTTCTTGTCACTTTCGGTCCATTCTCTCGAGCCTCCTTCACCTCGAGAGGTCGATCCATCACTATGTCCCACAGATCAGGATATGTTGAGCAGATGAATAATTCCATCCGATTTCGCCTATATCTGTAGTGAACTCCTTCGAACCTTGGTGGTCGAGTTTGAGAGAATCCATCTGCCTTGAAAATTCCGCTCGCCGAGCTTGAACTCATCTTCTCCGCAGGCAGTTAAGCCCTTGCTGTTGGAGCCCGGCTCTGATACCACGTGTTGGTTGAGTCGAGCGAGAGACTCCGGCGTAGATTCCCTTGATTCTCCAATCAATCCAGACCCTGTATAACCCGAAATCGATATCGATAAGAACAAGTGAGGAGAATGGGAGGAAACTGAAAATGAATCGATGAGAGGGATAAAGTCACTTCCCTCTTTGTGTTTGCCAAACGACAGCGAATCTGAAATCTGATGTGGGCCGGGTTTGATTTATTATTAAATTGTCAACT